TGGCACCCTCATCTCCCAGTGGTCTACCAAGAGGCAGGTGCCAGCCTAGAAATGAGTGTGGGGTCTCTCCAGCCTGGTTTGGGCCTGTCCTGGGCCTCTGACCTGGCCTGATCTGATGCCCCCTGCCAGGCAGGAGAGAGTCTGCTGCCCCCCTTAGAGCTTTTAATTGGATCTGGGAGTCCTGGACTCTCCTGCCTTCCTTGTCTTTGGATTCAGGGTGACCTTGAGCAAGGCCCTTCCTCCATCCTGGAAATGTGGAGAAGATTCCCACTCCTAGCCCCTCCCTGGGGGCGGGGGTGGGTGGGGTGAGGGGGGAAGCTTTGAGGAAGGCAGAGAAAACCTCAAGCAGAGAAATGGCTGTTAGCCAAAGCCTCCTGAATTATAAATGTGCTGCTGTTGTGGCCCTTTGGGGCACTTAAGTGCTTCTTAACCAGCCAGTAAAACCCACATCCAACTGCCCCTTGAGCAGTCGTGTGAAGGAGGTTGTGTTCTCAACATTCTTGCTTTCTGAGGCCCTGAATGCAGCTGTGAATGTGATGACTCCAGGGGAGAATTTTGCCAGGCTTGGTCTCTGAGCCACAGAGGGGCCTGAGCAGGGGAGCCCGAGGCCCACTTGGTGTCCAGCCAGAACCAGGATTCCTTGAGCATAGCTCAGGCCAGTGAGTCTCTTCCCTATTAGCGCCCAGGGCTCTGTGCCTTGGAGAACAGATACAAGGGCAGAAGGTGTAGCCACTGCCCAGAGACCAGAGTCAGGGCTCCACCCTGCTCCTGTGTGACTGCATGACTTCTCTGGGCCACAAGCTCCCAGCTGCAACAGTTGGAAACACTTCTTGTGGCGACACTGATACTGGTGACTAGCCCAGCTGGGCTGCTGGGAGGAGCATCTCCTAGACTCCCACCTCCCCTTAGGGGAGACAAAACAGGACAAAACTGAGGACACCTGGGATTTGCAGCCCAGCCAATGTAGGCCTGAAAGTGAAAGTGTGAGTTGCTCAGGCATGTCCAACTCTTTGTGTCCAACTCTTTTTTCCCTGTGTAAGAATACTGGAGTGGATAGCCATTCCCTTCTCTAGGGGATCTTCCTGACCTAGGGATCAAACTTGGGTCTCCCGCAATGCGGGTAGATTCTTTACCATCTGAGCCACCACAGTTATATAGCTCTAGGTGGCAGCCCCACCCCTCTGAGCCTCCCAGCATCTAAAGTGGAGTGGCAACCTTGCAGTACTGCCATACAATGTAGAGATAGGATGCCTTTCCTGGGTCTTGGCTCAGTCCCCACAGCAGTGGGTTCGATTCCTGGGTTGGGAAGATCCCTGGAAAAAGGGAATGGCACCCCACTCCAGTATTCTTGCCTGGAAAATTCCATGGACAGAAGAGCCTGGCAGGCTACAGTCTATGATGTCGTGAATAGTTGAACACAACTGGGCGACCTTCACTCACTCACCACAGCAGGCTCAGTCCTGCCTGGGAAGTGGCCCTGAATCTGAGGAGCCCATATCCTACCTAACCTCTTCCTCTCTCCAGCTTTACAAAAGCCTGGGAGCAGAGAGAGACCCTCTTCCTCACAATGTCCAAATGCCCAGGTCGCTGGCTTACTGGGCCCAGCTCTACAGGGTCCTGGGGGCTCTAGGAAGCACCAACCTCATTCCTCCTTCATCCTGGGATCCGGCATCAGGTTGGCTTGTTCAAGCTTCTCCTTGCAAATGGTCTCATCTGGGTCTGTGTCCAATGCTTGCCCTGGCCCCCAGGCCCCAGATAGAGGTAGGAGAGACAAATGCAGGGCAGATTGGCTCCAGCAGCTGTGAGGGAAGAGCCACAGGCTTGTGCTGGGTGGTGTGAAGCCCCTGCTTGAGTGTGGAGAGCCTGTTCTGCCTGCCCTTCCCCTGTGGCCGGAGAGGGGCTGGGGCTGCGTTTCCGCCTCTCCCTTCGTGGGACCACGGGAAGCAATCAGCCTGAGGAAGCTGTGCTGTGCTTCCTTCCTTTCTCACCAGCCCCTCCGGAGGCCTTGACAACCTCAGCTTGACCTGTGGGGCCTGCAGCTTCTGAGTTGTGGGCAGGAGACCAGCAGGCCTGCTGGGAGCCCCTGGAGGGTGTGGGATCAGGGATGCCCTCAGACTCCTGCCTGGGCATTTCCTGGGCCAGAGTGCCCTTGTGCGCACACCCACACCACTGGGACCACCAGGCCATGGCTGGGTGACTCCCTCAGGCCTTGAGCAGTCCAGAGACCCACCCTCCCTGGGACTAAGGGAACGCAGACCTTCCCCACAGCCCCGGTGCGGGTGAGAGGGTGGGGGGGTGTAGATTGGGAGAGAAGGAAGACATCTCCTCCCTCCTTCCCATCCTCTTGAGTCCCTCATACCCCCTTTCATCAGGGAGAGGTAGGCTGCCCAGAAACAGGGGCTGATGGCTTTGGGGAGGGAAGGTTGGATTCTTGGTCCTGAAATCAGAGCCTGGGTTCCCCTGCCAAGAGCCACCTGTACTCCCAGCTCTGAGCAGAGCTGGGAATGGGGCAGGAGGGGGGTCTCTCAAGGCCCAACTTCTTCCCTCTCCTCCCACGTGGCTGTCCCTCCGTCACTGAAGGCGAGTGCACACTCGCTTAGTCTGGTCCTCCCGCCTCTCCTGTCCAGTCTGATTTTGGGAAAGTGTCCAACAAACACTTTCACCTTGAAGCATCAGAGCTCTATGAGAGCTGTCCTGGGCAGATATGGGCCAGGCCCACATGACAGTGAAACTCAGCCAGCCCAGGAGACTCTGGTGACTGTAAATTGGCCCCTCTCACCCTCCAAATCCACATGGATGCTCCCAACCAAGTCTGGTTTGTGTGTGGAGGTGAGAAGAGTGGGGTGGGGCGGGGGGAGACATCCCTGGGACCAGAACCAGAGTATGATCCCTGGACTCAGACTCAGGTCTTGGTTCTAGTTCTCCTCAGCTGTGTGACCTTGGGCCAGCTGCTTAGCCTCTCTGAGCCTCAGGCTCCCCTATAATCAGGAGGGGATTAACAGAGATAACACTTGGCAAGATGCCCAGAGATGGGTTCGATAAATGGCACCTGCTGCTCTGACTGAGGGGTACCCTGAGGAGGGACCCACATAATCAGCACCGTATCAGCAGGAGGATCCCTGACCCTGGACAAATAAACGGACTAGAAAATGGTGTCCCAGTCTAGTCCTAAAACCATTCTGCCCATCTCCAGACAGGTGCTGAAGCAGAGCTCGCTGGATGCCGCAGCCTCCTTTTTGTTCTGCAAATAGAGCAGGGCACCCTGTCTGATCACTGCTTAGCTGTTAGGGCCAGGCTGAGGGTCTGTGCCCCTCCCCAGGCACTCAGATCCAAGTTCTGTCCCCAGGGGTGTCTGTCTTCTAGGGCTTAGGCCAGGCCAGCCTCATCTGGGTTTAGCTTTCAGAACTGACTCCCAAGAACAGGAGCCACTCCCAGGCCAGCTGGAAACTTCCGGAACCACAGCCCCTCAGCATCCCTCATGCTGGTGTTTGATGGCATCAAGTGCTCCTGCCCTGTCCAACCTCCAGGCCCATTCCTTGCCATGGGTCAGGCAGGGAACTCCATGTGGTCCTTAGGTCCTGGGGGACTGGGGTGCCCAGTCCAGACTGACTGGGGGTGATCTTCTAAAGGCGAGCATGACCTCTAGCGCTTCATTCAGCTTCACAGCTGGTTCAGCAGATAGATGGTATAAACCTATTTCACATACAAGTAACTGAGGTCCCGAGAGCCCCTCTTTGGCTGAGCTGGGACTGAGATCCTGTACCACATCCTCCCCCAGGTCCAGGCCCTCCTTACCGTCTGACAGGGTCCCTGCCGGTGTCCTCAGCCTCTGCCCTCCAGACCCCAGGGGGCTGAGGGCGCTGTGGATCAGAGAATCTGGTACCGGGGGCCTGCGCCCAGGTCCCCAGCATCCCCCAGCCCAGGGGCCCCCCCAGGCCAATCAGCAGTGTCAGGATCATGCTGGCTTGCGGCAGACTCAGCTTCTGTAGTGACTCCAGAAAGTGCCGGTGCCGGTGACGTCTTTAAGTTAAGTCTCAGAAGGGAAAAAAAAAAAGCAGGGACAACAAAGAGAGGAAGTGGCCTGGGCCGGCCCACCCGGTGAGTCCCGTCCGGCCCCGCTCACCCTCGGCCTGGCCCCCACAGGGGCAGGCAGCAGCGCAGGCCAGTTCCTGTGGCCGAGGAGGACTCGGTCAGGGACACGGGGTGTGGGAGACACAGGGGGAGGTGGTCCCACTAAGCCTGTCCCCATGGGAGTCAGAAGAAGTGCGCCAGCATTGAGACGGAAGGAAGCGTGTCAGGAGGAAGCGGTCAGATCAGCCTCAGGGAACTTGCTGCCCATCCATGTTGGTGGCCAGGACGTGGGGGGCACTCGTGCCTACTCAGCATCTCTCACCGCTAGGCTGTGGGAGCCAGGAGGTGGGTGGAGGCCCAGATGGAGATGGGAGCTGTCCTAGGGTCACACAGTCTGTAGCTGGGCCTGGGCTGTGGGTTAGCCTTTTGTGGCCCAGTTCTTCCACCTGGCCTTGCCCGAGCCCCAGGATGGGGGTATTCATGGTGCTGGGGAGAAGTTGGGCAGGCCAGGCCAGTCCGGGAGGTTGGCCACTCTTGCCTGACAGGCCAGCTTAATCTTAACCCCTGCCCTACCTGGGACCCTGGTAGCAGAGGCGCCTTTCTTTTCTGTGTCTACTGCCCCACCCCCCGCAACCCCTCTCTGCCCCAGAGGTACACAGACACAACAGCCCCAGGCCTGGGAGCACCTAGTCAGGGTCACCCCTGTAGGTGCACAGGGTGGCAAATGGATGAGGGGCAGTGATGGATAAGGATGTGTCCAACCTGCTATGGCCCGTCCAGGGAGGGCAGGGGACAGGAGGGGAGGCTGGAGCCAGCACAGGCCCAGGGGACCCTGGGAGAAGGTGGGGGCAGCCGTGCTCCCTCCCTCCCTCCTTCCCCGCCCCCACCCCTGGGCTGGCCGGGCTCCCATCAGCCGCTGCTGCATCATCAATATTTCATCGGCGTCAATAAGAGGCAGCCACAGGGACAGCGGCTGCAGCAGCACTAGAGCCAGCGCCAGTCACGGTTCGTCTGGGGAGTCAGACTGCCATCCCTGCCCGCCGCCATGGACGTCTTCAAGAAGGGCTTCTCTATTGCCAAGGAGGGTGTGGTGGGTGCCGTGGAAAAGACGAAGCAGGGCGTGACGGAGGCGGCTGAGAAGACCAAGGAGGGTGTCATGTATGTGGGTGAGTTTGGGCGTGGCAGAGCCCGGCAGGGAGGGGCAGCCTGGTGGCCGCTCAGTTTCCTGGACTGGACTTTATCCCCTGATCCCAGGGTGGCATTTTTGGGAGGGGTGAGGACTCCTGGGCCCAGTGGACCCCCACTCTCCTGTATACCCACCCCATTGTCTGTCTGGGCCTCTTTGGGGTTGAGGGGTCTCTGGGGCAGGACAGCAGGAGAGGCACTCAACCCTCAGACACGCCTGTTTGTGCATACACAAATGCATACACCACTACACACCAGCACCCCCACCCCAGTATCACCCACAGCCTCTTGACTCAGATAAAAAGTCACACTGGAGCCCTGGGCTGAGCAAGCAGGTACTCAGCAGCCAAGCCACAGGTCCCCACCCTGCCCAGAAAGAAGGGGTGCCACAGGAGAGATGAGATTGACCCTCAGCATCCTGGCCAGGCTCCCAAGCCCCCTCCCCCATCAGCTCCTTCCAAAGGGGAGGCCAAGCTGATGACTCAGCTTCTGACCCTATCAAGCCCTGCTCCAAGGCCCAGGCCACACCCACTCGAGGTCCATCCACCAGACCCTACCTCAGGCCTGATCTCTCTCATCCCTGCATCCTGTCCTGTCCACTTCCCATCCATCCCTTTCCTCCAGACACAGCAGGAAGTGGCCATTGAAAGGATGGCTGGCCCCCAGACACCATCCTTACTCCCCACCGACTCTGCAGCTTGTCCAGCTGTTCTGTGGTGTGTTTGCCCTGACCACTCCCCTCCCAACACCTGGAGTGGGCTTGGGCTGACGCCTCCATTTCCTCCACAGGAGTCAAGACCAAAGAGGGTGTTGTGCAGAGTGTGACTTCAGGTGAGGTGACCCAGGACCAGGGGACATGGAGGGTGGGACATCCAGAGACTTTTGCACCCGGCTACTAAAGCCCAAGTCGGGGGCCCTCTTTCCTCCCTTGTTGTACTAGGATCCAGACCTCCAGAATCTGGAGGTAGGCCCAGGGTGGACCACCTGATCATCATCAGAGCTTCCCTGGAGTCAGAAAGAGGACAGCCTAGGTCTTCAGTAGAGCCAGAGTTTTGAGTGCCCAGGGAAAGGGCTGCTCTGGCCTGATTTGGGCAGGCCAGAGCTGGGTTGGGTGGGATCAGGGCCAAAGCCTGCCAGATTCCTCCCACAGTGGCTGAGAAGACCAAGGAGCAGGCCAACGCCGTGAGTGAGGCCGTGGTCTCCAGTGTCAACACTGTGGCCACCAAGACGGTGGAGGAAGCGGAGAACATTGCAATCACCTCTGGAGTGGTGCGCAAGGTGAGATCCGGTCCCTAGCCCGGGGCCCAGGGAGGTCAGCTGGGGAAGAAGCATTATCACCCCACTAACATACAGGGTGGAGAAGGCAACGGCACCCCACTCCAGCACTCTTGCCTGGAAAATCCCATGGACGGAGGAGCCTGGTGGGCTGCAGTCCATGGGGTCGTGAAGAGTCAGACACGACAGAGCGACTTCACTTTCACTTTTCATTCTCATGCACTGGAGAAGGAAATGGCAACCCACTCCAGTGTTCTTGCCTAGAGAATCCCAGGGATTGCAGAGCCTGGTGGGCTTCCGTCTATGGGGTCGCACAGAGTCAGACACAACAGAAGTGACTTAGCAGCAGCAGCAACGTACAGGGGAACGGAGACTTAGGGGCCCTGGTCTATGCTTGTTGTTGTCACATCCCGGGAACCTCGCAAGCACCCCTGTGAGGGGGGTGGGGGGGGCCCAACTGGAAAGTGAGGCTCAAAACTCACCCACCCGATGGTGCTCAGCATTTAGGAGACACATTTTACTAGCAAAAGCAGGGTCCTGTGAGCCCCACGTCATGACAGGCAGCCTCCCGCGGGCAGTGGACACCAGATCAGAGCTGCCAAGTCACCACCTACCCAGAGTCCAGCCTCCCTCCAGAACCTGCTGGGCTGGGCCACCTCCTGCAAGCAGGTGCAGGGAAGCAGCGCCCCCTGGTGACGAGAAAAGAGTGAGGTTCTGACCACACCCTCTGCCTCTGTCTTTGTGAGCAAGTGTACGTGCCCGGGCGCCTGTGCCTGGTCTGAGAGTTCACGTGTGTGTGTATGCTGGGCAGCGGAGAGCACAGGGGCAATTTTGGGGGGCAGCCTGGCTCCAAAGTCTATGCTCTGAAGAGAGACTCTGAGTGAGAGTCAGGAGGAGATTGTGGTGGGAGCCAGTTCATTTTTGGGGCAGGAGGTTTTCCTAGTCCAGAGATGAGCTGTTACCAGCTGTGTAAGCAGATGTCGTTTAGAAAGTTCCACCCAACTGGCACAGGCCCCTAGGGGCCAGTGGAGTCCTAGGCACCCAGCACTAAGAATCCCTGGAGTGGATTAGTGGAAGGGTAGGTGGTGACCCTGCCTTTGGCTCAGGACAGCACCGAGGTCATAGGATCTCCAGACTCGAGGAGCAGGCAGGTGCCCCCTCTCCTAGTTCCCAGCTCTTATTAGCTATGTGACTTTGGGAAGCTACTCAGTTTCCCTGGGCCTCCATTTTATCAGCTGTAAAATGCTTGTTGGGGGCATGTGCTGAGTATCCATTCCACTGGCCTGTGATGATGCAGAGAAACAGACCCCTGTGAAGCAGCTTTACCTCGTTTATAGTGAGTACCCAACAAAAGGAGGTGACTGTATCATCATTATCATCAGTGACCCCAGGCAGGACCCAAATGTACCCCCCAGGAGACCCCAGGCCCCTCCCTCCCCCACCCCCCAGCAAAAGAGGCCTTAGAATGGGGCCAGGCTGCCCCCTAGGGCTCTGAGCAGAAGCCTGGGCACTCCTCTCTGACTTTGGAGGAGGGCTGGTGAGTCCTTGGCTACCTCAAGGGAGATATATCCTGGTGACATCCCCAAACCATCCATGACTCACTGTCCAGTGAACTGCAGAAGGATGTAGCACTGCCCATCTGTCTGACTACTCATGCCCCCGGCCTCATGCACCCACCCTGGGGCAGCAGGACTAGATACATGGCCACCTGTACTTTGTCTGAGGAGCCTGCCCCAATTCTGGCTGCCTCAGTCCACCAAAGGGCAGGATGACATCATGGTAGTACTGAGGTGGCAGGATCCTCAGAGGTAGGTGCTGAGCCCAGGGTCCAAGATGATCACCCAGTCTGGCCCCAGCTATCACTTATCACACGACCACCCCAAGGCAGGACACCATCTCAGGCAAGGGTCTGGTTGGGTGTAGGTAGGTAGAAGGAGACAGGAAGTGGGAGAGGATTATATAACCCCTGCTGGTCCCACCTGAGGGACCAGCCTGAGCCCATTGCCCATCCAGGAGGCAGGGAGAAGGAAAGAGGGAGGCACTCATGCTATTGAGAATAGGGTTAGGCCTGGAGCAAGCCAGACCTGATCCCTGTAAGCCCCACGGCTTTGATCTCTAAGGCTTTGAGTTGAATAGCTGGCCTCTCTGGCCACAGGGTCCCCATGTGAACAGTGGTAACATGCCCTTCCTTCCAAGGGTCTTTGAGGATCACAGTAGGAGAAGGGTATATGGTCATGTGATTCAGGAACACTGAGGGTGGGGTCAGGCTTAGGACTTCAGAGGCCACTGCCCACCCCACCCACATCACTAGGCTTGCTCATGGAGGAGGACCAATCAGGGACTGTCAGGGACTCACTGTTAGCTTCTCGGGGTGAGGCTGGGCTCAAGGATACTTGGTACTCCCTGAAGGCCTTGGCATCATCAGACAGAGCCCCCATTGGGAATCCTTACATGAGGTTCTATCACCTCCAAGGCCCATCTGGCCTTCACACCTCCCTCCCCTCCTGCCCTCCAGGTACAGTGATGAAGACCTCTGTTCTTCTTTGAGGTCAGAGTGGTGAAGCTCTGCACCCTCCACCTGGTGCCACAGCCCCTTTGCTTTTCCACAGGAGGCCCTGAAGAAACCTGTCCCCTCACAGGAGGATGAGGCCGCCAAAGAGGAAGAGCAAGTGGCTGAGGAGGTAGGAGCTGGACCCCTGGGGTAACACAGGGGTCCCTGGGCAAGTTGCTTCCCTCTCGGGGCCCCAGAACCCACAGGGGAGCCTCCTGACCTGCAGCCCCCTGAGCCTGAGTGTGAGATCCCCTCATGAATAGCCTCCTCAGGGCAGAGGGGCATAGATGACACCCTTCCTCCCCGCTCCCCAAGCCAGGGTAACCGCTGAGGAATGGAGCCCCAGAGCCATACGTGAAAGTCACTGTCTCTTCCAGACCAAGAGTGGTGGAGATTAGAAGGCTGCCATGATCTGCAGAGGCCTTGAGGAGCATGCCATCCCTCCTGGCACAAGAAGTGTCTGGTCCTGGAGTATGACCTACAGAGCTGCCAGCTCCCCACACCCTCCTCCAGCTCCCCACAGGCCCATCCTCCCTGCTACCACCACCACTGCCTTCACCTCCCTACCTTATCCCTGTCCACCACCCTCTGATCTTTCTGACCCCACAGATGCTGCTGTGAATTTTTTTTTTTATGATTTTAATGATTCCAAATAAAACTCAAATCCCCACTGCATACCTGCTCATTATTCTTTCTGTTCTGCCTTATTCATGAAGATGCCCCCTGGGCCCTCCCAGGAACAGGAGCTGGGCCAGGTATGCTACAGGGACACACTGGGCATTTCTAGCACCTTCTGCAAGCATGCAGTGCCTTCAGAGACTCCCCCACCCCCACCATTGCCTTTTAACATGGAGGTGGCTGCCCTGCTTTTTGGATCCTGCAAACAACCTCAAGAACATGCTGTCTGCTGGAGCATGAGACCGGGATGCCCCGGTCATACCTTCCAGGGATGGACCCCACTGATGGCAGGGGGTGAGGATGGGCCCCCTGGGTCCTCCTGGGGTGTGTCCTTGAAGCCGGTTGTCCTTCTGGGAACAGGGACACCTAGCACCCCCCCTGAAGCAGATGGTAACTTTCAAAGATGTGAAGTCTAAACTCATAGCAAGGACTTTTTGCATCCTCCTTGGCAAAGAGGGACACGACCCCAGAGTTCCTCCCTCCTGTCCCCACCCAGCCTTGAGCTCCCTACCAGGTTGGAGCTGGGCTTTCCCTTCCTTCAGCAGAGTCCTGTCAAGTATCATTAGAAAACACAACAATTGAGAGGTAGGAGTGGAAGCATCCGCCTAGAGAGAAAAAGAGTCAAGATATTTATTGAGCTCCTCCCAGGTGTGGGATACTGTACTAATTGCTTTACCTCCTTTAATCCTCAAAACTAATTGTTAGTATGTCCGTAGTTTCACCGAAACTGAACTAAGAAACAGAGAGGTTAAATAACTTGCCCAAGGGCACAGAGCTAGGAAGCTGTGGCCTGGCAGAAGGCCAGGTGGCCTGACCCCAGAGCCACACAGCTGATTCGCAGCATGATCTGCTACGTCCACCCAGACTGTGTGGGCTGCAGTGGCCTGACAGCAGATGCGACCATCTCCAAGATTTCAAAACAACCCAGGGACCTGACTGGTTGTTGTCCTACAGGAAAGGCTATGGGCATCACGCCCTGGAGTCTCACTCAGAGGTGGCTAAGTGGAGAGCAGGGTTCCTTCTCCTTTAACACCCAGTTTGGGCCCAAAGCACCCAGGTCTCCAGCTCTGGGTGGGGGCGCTGAAGCTTGAGTCCATACCACCTGCTCATCCTCTCTCTGTGGTGGAGAGCAGAGGTCAAGGGCAGCCCTGGGGGCTGTAAAGCCAAACAGCTGAGCTTCATTGTATCCCAGTTCATCAGTCACCGGCATCCACTGCTGAGGAGGCAGAAAGGAGTAGTGAGCTGCTGGTCTCCCAGGTGTGCAAAGCCTACCATGGGAGGAGGAAGGGTCTTGAAGAGGCACAGGGCAGTCAAGGGTGCTCCTGCTCCCAGGTTCAGCCTGCTCATCAGCAGGCCTGTGCATGCCCCAGGAAGAAGGCCCGAGGGGCTGGGTGTGCCTGAGAGAAAGCAGAGGAGACAGGTCCTCTCAGGTAACTGCAGGAGGAGGATACCAGGTGGCGCTCCTGGGGTCCCGGTACCCTCTCCTCTACTGAAGGAACGCGGAAGGGTCCCTGCTGCTTGTCCCAACTCCCACCTCCACCCCCAGACGCATATTTAGGACCTCTTCCTGTGATCAAACAACGAAGTTGCCTGGTCCAGGAAGCTTCTTCCCCATCCCATGAGCACCTGCAGTATGCTTTACTTTTAAGCCCTCTATTATGTGCTGTGCGCTCTGTGGGGCTGTGACTTCCCTAGAGGAGTAATTGCTCTCTCCCCATCCCTCTCCTCCAAGAAGCCCCAGGTGACCTGTCTTGGTAGGTGGCAATTGTAGTAAGAGAACATACATATGAGACTTGTTTTGGCTGCCACAAGATGAATAGATCTATGCCCCAACCCGCCAGAATCTTAAAAGTTAATAGAGGGCTTGACTGGAGTCAGTCAAATATTTGGGCTTCCCTGATGGCTAAATTGGTAAAGAACCTGCCTGCAATGCAAGAGACACAGGTTCAATCCCTGGGTCAGGAAGATCCCCTGGAGAAGGAAATGGCAACCCACTCCAGCATTCTTGCCTGGGAAATCCCATGGACAGAGAAGCCTGGCGGGCTACAGTCCATAGGGTAGCAAAGAGTCAGACACGACTTAAGCAGCTTAGCACACATGAATGTGGTCATATATTCAATTCAAGAGGGTTTCAACAACATCTTACTCTCTCAAGGCTGTGTCCTAAAAATGGCCACTAATATGGGGTTTGTAGTCAGGACATAAATTCCAAGGGCAGGGGAGAGGGTGAGGAGCCGCTGACTGCTCAGGTCCAGCTCACAAGGCAACCGGTAGTTACATCCTCTTGATGACCTCCTCCAACATTGCTGCAACAGATTTTTCAATCATCTTCTATATATCAGGTGAGGTGTTTGACTCTAAGGAACCAAACTAAGCAAACTAGATATGGTTTCTTCAATTGCCCAGAATCTTGGAGCTGTTGGAGAAGAATAACTCCCCCTTTACCTTTCTAGGTTCTTCTGGCTGGTCAAAGAATTAAACTGACATGAGACAGGTTGACAGGAGAAAATCAAAGTTAAATAGCATGTATACATGAGAGACCCAGGAAAACTGAGTAACTCATCAAAATGGCTGAAACCTTCACCTAAAATAGCATCTTTAGCTAAATACAAAAGAGGGTGTTGGGGCTAGTGGTTTGGGGAGGAAGGCATTTGACATGAAGATGGAAAGCAAGTGTTCGGTAAACAAATGTTTGCTGGGCCATGTACAGACAATGGGACACAGAGAAGAATTTTAACAAATTGACTTTTCTCAGTTTCTGCCTGTCTACATACCTAGTTCATGTTCTAGTTATCCATGGTGATAGTTCTATTACTGTAACAGACCCTCCAACTTAATTCTTTAGGTAACTAAGGGGAAAGGTCAAAGTTTCTTCCTGAGTCATTTGGGCTTTGATTGTTTTTAGCTTGAAATAACCTGCATTTCAAAGAGACATTTTAGAGTGGCAAATCTTGCTTCCCTGCAGAGGAAAGAGAGAGAATTTGAAAAGCAATAACACTGAAGTATGGTGTCATGTTAGGGAAATACAGAATGCTATAAGGCCCAAACTGGGATGCTTCATCTAATCTGTGATAGGGAAGTCTTCCCTGGTTGTGATATTTTTGATGAAACTGGAACAATGAGTAAGAATTAGCAAGATTAAAGGGCCCACCATTCCCACCCTCCCCAACCATGGACCCTCAGCTGAGTGTCAGGCATCCATCAGCCCATTTAATCCTCACCATAACACCCTGGGGGAGATTCTGTTATTGTGCCCCCCACCATCAAGGATTGAGGCTTGATGAGTCTCAACCTTGAGACACTGAGGCTCAAAGAGATGAAGGAACTTGCTCTAGTGGGTATTTGAACCCAAGGGTTCTGACTTCAGTGCCTGCTGCTTTAGAACCATTCAGCTGTCTCTTATCACCTGCTTGGGCAGCCTCCCATAGAGGCTGTTGCCTGTCTCATTCTTTGCCCACAGGGCCTGGTGCCAAACAGCATCAGCAGCTCAGCAATGAGCTAACGTGGAGCAGTGTAAAAGGTCTTCCTGGCTAAAGGGATTAGTGGTAGCGGTGGTTTTTCAGGAGGGCTGGCAGGCCTGGGGCAGGGGCTGGATGGGATCTCTCCAGAATACTGAAGGAAGAGTCAGGCAGACTTGCTGCGCCTTGACACTTAGAGCTCAGGGCTGGACCAGGCTCCCAGCAAGGACAGACGGGCACAGGGCGGGGCAGTTGCTTTGTCAGTCTGTGTTTGGTTTCCCTTCCCCACACCAGATCTCCGTCCCCCTAACCAGATCTCAGGGCCTACCCCTTCCTCTGGCCCAGAAATCCTCCATTAATCAATTTCTCACGTGTGTGTGTTCTCCAGATACCCCCACACCAGAGGCTGACCCTCCATGACCTAGTCACTCCTCCCTACCATTAGAGGCAGGGTGTGGACCAGTTGAGGGGACCTGAGTAAGCGGGGACTTCCCAGAGCTCCAAAATAGCGGGGACTCCGATAGACGTGCAGAGACGGGCCCAGAAAGGGTTAATCAGAGAGCAAACTTAAAGAGGGTCCAACCACAGGCTGAGGGAGTGGCCTCCAGGCTCCAATGGTCAACTCAAGTGGAAGAGCGCTGGGCTGGGTGGTGGCCTGACCTGCAGCCTTGGGCATCAGGAGTCGTTTTGCTGTCCCTGGGATCCCTGGCTGCCCTACTGACACGCCAGTCACTAATTGCCCTCCGTCCTCCGAGGCCCTCCGGCCATCCCTCAGCCCCTCGAGCTCAGTCCCGGGAAAACTGACTTGAGCAACCTGCAGCTGGGCCGCTCCCTTACTCGCAGTGTGGTCTGGAGTACTTTCCGCCCAAGTCCTGGGGCTTTGGTGACCAACAATGATTTCCTTGCCTGGGCTGGACACACATGGACGGCCCTTTCTGTTACTCCCCCTCCACTTGGGGCTGTGTGGTCCCCCCAGTCAGAGCCGCGTGGTCTCCAGTGACTGGCCTCAATGGAAGGAGGTGGGACTTACTCCACAGTCTCCCCACTGCACTCCCCCCCATCCCACCCCTGTCCCAGCAGCAGTTGGGCAAATGGCATCTGCCAGTCTGCAGTGTCCAGGCTGAGTGTGTGGGACCTGCTGGTTTGGCGTTGGTCAGAGCCCTAGGGTTTACAACCCACCGACTCAGACTTGAGTCCCTGCCATGTGAATTTGGTGAGACCTAAATCACCCTCTGTGCCTCATCTTCTTCCTAAAAACTACTAACAACTCCCATTCCAAGAGCTTGTTGTCAAGGTTACACAAGAAAGGAAGCGTTTGCACAGCGCCAGGCACAAAGTAAATACTTAATAAAAAGCAGCTGCTATTAATTACAACTCCACCTGGTGCTGATCCCCACCTCCCTCACCCCTCCCAGGATGGGGAATCCTCAGGGTCAGGGAGGAAAAGTCGCGCCCACCCGGTGCAGGAAGATTGGTGCGCCCCCTTGTGCCCCCAGCCACTGTCCCGATCCCCGATCCAGCCCCTCTGCAGCCCTGAGC